TAATGTTGAGGTGTTTCAATGTTGAGGTGTTTCAATGTTGAAGTGTTTCATTCGCAAATCTCAAACTGTCCAGGCTGATCTTCAGTTCAACTAGTAATAGATATCCGTGTATAGGGATAAGTTATTCACGTTTCCGCTCTCAGAAGTATAGTCTTTGGCGGTTGCAGTGCTGAATTCATTGTCAAAGTTAGGATTGTACATGATAATTTAAGCAAAGAGTGATTCAATTATTTCAAAGATTGTTAGCTGCACATAGAAATGAATAAGACCTTCTACTTGTGTCTCGATACAATATCCAGGAAACATTGAACCTCATCCATGAAATGTTGTTCCTTCCATATAATGTTCATTTAACATCTAATAACATTCATTTAGTTATTTGTTCGTGAGCAGTTGACGTATCGGTGACAAACATTTGCATGTGCGCGTGATATTCATACGTCAGATGTGACTCATTGCTGCATTAAACTTCATATTAAATAATCACTTAATGATCTGATTGCTATTAATGATGAACAATATGAGGAAATTTTCAGGAAATAACTCAACTGAACTGATATTTCTTTAAACTTTTATTCGCCCTGCGCGGGGCAATTCACATGCGTAAATTAGTATTTATAAGCAGTCGGTTCATTCATTTCTTGAATCAACTGCACTGCAGTCAACTAGATATCAACTGCACTGCAGTCAACTAGATATCGAGCTTGCCTGAGCCAGGATTAGTTTTCGTTGAAGAGCTAGCCCACTCGACAGCACTACTATATAAATACATATATCCTGAGGGCTCAATCCAGAAGTTAGTGTGTATTCTAAACGACTAACTCTACTATTCACTACACTCTCTAGTCAACATCCAGCGCATCCAGTCGTCTATCCAGCATCAGAAGCAGTGAAACAGCCGCAAGCGTTGACAAGCAACGAGGCCGCAACGCATATTCATCGTCGTCAGCGTTCACATTGCGATCGATTCGTCTGTCATTTGAGCGCGGGAGTATGTGGCTGACGCTTCTCCCCACTCTACTTATAGTTCATGCATCGTGGGCCACTTTATATTCTGGTAAGCTTTTATTTGGATCATTTCTTCTGATTTATACAAAAGCGTTCGGTTTAGATAGCATGAATGCATATTTTAACTGACAATGAATGCATAACTTGTGAGTTGTTTTTGAGAATTTGTTTTTGCGCGAACAGTCCCATCCGCAATGCCCAGACAATTGAACGTCAAGGCTTATTAGACCAAATGAATGCTTAGAAAGGGGTTTTCTAGGAGTGAAAGTTTGGAGTGTGAATGGGATCCCTTCAAGTCAGGTTTTGGATTGTGAATGGGATCCCTTCTGCATCCATGATTTTGCGCTCGTCCAAAGCGCCGAAGTATCTAAGCGAATTATGCTAAAAGTGACGTGTCCTTTAAGCAATCAATGATTTATTTAAACAGTCATTGAATATCAATATGAAATGTTCAATGGATTTGGTGCTCTGTTTTAGTTCTTTGGATGGAACATCGGAGAACAATTGTTGCCACCATCGATAGTTCTGATAAATTCGAAATTTTAGCTGCTGACATTCCATTATTTGACACTCTTTGTTGTCGACATTTAAATCTTGAGTGATCGGTGGCCACTGGCATTCAGTTTTCTGGAAGCGCTCGTTTTCGGTTCCGGACCAAATTTCGGTGACCGCCGACCAAACTCTAATCAGGTGGCTTCAAAAGAAAACGAAATTGAATATTTTCTCATAAGTGCATCACTGTTTCGTAATTCGAGGTGAGTCCACTTAAAGAGAAATGACAAGAATGAATTGGTGCAGATAATAAAAGGCTTCCTTCCAGATTCAGTCTAGGATCGTTCCAACCACTCGAGAATATCATTACTGACTACATTGTTCCATCTCATGCAAGTGAAGTTGTACTCATACCTTACATCTGTCTTTCTCGTTGACGTCCTTGATGAGCATATTTCTCCGGATGTTTGTGAAATTTTTCTGACATAATCATAGAAATCAGTTGAAATGAACTTTTCCGTAGTGCTTACTGTTGCTCCTTTATTTCATCTCTAAATATTTTCAGCTATGACTATTCATTTCTAACCTTTTTTATCCGATCACGATATTCAACTTCAAACTGACTATCTTACCAAGAAAATCATTGATTGAAGCCAAGCTAGATTCTCAGTAGAATTGCATCTCAAAGAAATTTAGTTGCTTGAAGCAATTAAGTCTGCATATCACGCAACAAATGAAATCTATGACTGATAAAACAACGATAAATTGAATTCACTACACATTCGTTCAGTCTATGTCATTTCATATTATCTCTGTTTCCGTTTACTTGCGCTCTATTGGTTGCTTATTTATGTCATCAAACATCAATCAAAGGACTCTTAATGGGTTTGCCTCACCCACTTCGGAATTCTTCAGTTTCATATCTTTCTTCTTCTCCAGGAGCGTACGTTGATCAAGACTTTCACAAACGTTTTGCGCTCATTTATTTAGTTTATAGCTAAGCATGCACGAAATTCAATTACTTCTAACACATGTTCATCACCTCTGAGAGGATATATCGTGTTGATAAATAGTATGAACAATTTTCATTCAATGGTTCCATGGAGAATGTACACTGATGAACGATGGATACATAAGGCATTAGCGTTGACAAACAAAAGAGATTGCGTCATCCATATTATTAAAGGTTTCATGAAAGCAGGCATGAGGAAACGTACGAGCATGAAAATCTCTTTAAGGGAACAAGTGTTTCAATATCAGTTTAAAGTTCAGCAATGATTCACTTCCTTCAGCTGTGAATCGAATAATCAAATGACATTCATCAGAAATAATACGTTTTTGGTTCATAAATTCAATATGCTAATAATGCGATTCGTTCAGATGTTTGCGTTGACTTAAGATGTAAGCTTTCATGCAATCATACTTCCATTACATTAGCTAGCGAAGCTTTATGCCAGTAAAATTATCCGATTATTCTATACTAAAGTCTTCTATCCACTGCATTTCCAGTATGCAGTTGTGCTTGCTAAGTATAAACTATCATAGCATTTGCCGACCATCACACAATAACAAACTTACCTGTATTGCCGAATTTGAAGTGCTAAAAATGACGGGGTGCAAAATAAATGTTAAAAATCATGTGCTCTATCGGTTCAGTACACTGCATTGTCATTTCTTCACTTGATAATCTTCACTCGAACACGATAGCTGTGGAAATTTGTATGCACTTATGTAGCAATATAAAGACATATGAAATCGGTCTGTTCAAACTCAGACTCAAATTCTCTTGAATAACTATGCACGATGGCATCAACTGGAAACACACCGTTAGTTCGAAAATACGTCTGCTAATGATCACAGTTAGCATTTCTGTGCAGCAAAGCGTCATCTCTACTGACAATGAGATGTATTAATAGTTTCATTTCATCGACGATCTTTGATGCTAGAATTCATTTTTCCCTGCTGCGATGCTATTGGTCTACCGTAAAAAGCATATGACGACTTGTTGTTAGTCTAAAAGGAATTAATGAGTGTTGGCTGTTGCTGAAAATCGTAGTCGACAGCCCATGAAATATTAATCAAGTCACATGTCTCAGCTTACATTTTCTGTTTTTGAACAGAGTTTTTCATTTCATCTACCAACAAGTTTCTGTTCAATTCCAGTTTGCAGCTGAAATTTTCCTGTGTCATTTAATCCTTCAGTGTTACTAACCGCATAGTTTGCCGTAAACTTATCCTTCTGAGTGAACAAGGTTATGCAGTTGGAGGGATTAAATTTTTATTCTGTTCAACCGAACAATATAACACATTTAGCGGTTCCATAAGCAGTTGTAAAACAAAAATTTTTGGTTAATATTGGCAGGGAAATGAACGAACTTCAACAAATTGAAACAAATGATTGCGAATAGCAGTAATTCTTGCGAACGCAAAGCGGCAAAAAAAAACACCATTGGGAGCAAGTACTAATGAAGTGAATCGAAAATATACAATGGCCACTCAAATTCAGCCTTCAAAACAGCAATCATCATTGCAAGATTATTTTCTAGACTAACTATTCAAAATTCATACAGTTTCACGAAAAAAGAAATGATGCTATTATTTGCTTATTTATCCTTCTAAAATGTAATTCGTTCGTTCAGCAGCTAAGCGTTATTCGCATGCATGCATCAACCCAAATGCCTCCGATTGTTATGAAGGGATAGACGGCTTATTATTATTCAATGAGATCCAATCCCATCTCGCGCTGTGTTATTTTTTATGTGCTCACACCAAAATCGATGCTGACGATTCAAGCCGAATTCATTTGCGCATAACAGCAATTGCATTCCATTGAAATTCATCAACGCCGTGCCGTGCATCCATTACTTACAAACAATCTCATATTATTAATGTGAGATGTCTGATCGATTGTCACGCGCGATGACGCACGACTCTGTCAAAACGAAGTCATTACTGACGCATATGAATATTTGTATTTCATAAGAAGTATTACCATCTGGCGGTTGGAGATATGATGCATACAACAGTTCAAACTGTTAGCAATGTTGAATGAAATAAGTGATTTTATCAATTCCTGAGAATGTATTACAACGAGACGGACAACGACAAGCGATGAAATTGATGAGATTTTTATCGAGAATTGATTCACTTTGACGAGCCACTGATTGTCATACCAAATGAGCTGACTAAAGCATATTTTTTGTTTAACACGAATGTAAGAGATATGAGATAACTCAAAACTTTTATCTATATTTAATGAAGTTAGGGAACTGAGGCTCATAGTTCGTGACCTAAAGATCTATTACCGCGATATCCTCGCATTAAAAAATCACGACACAGATCCAGTAGACTATGTTTTGAATTGATCAGCTGCTTTTGATCGCATGTTCTTTTTGAAGTTATTATGAAATATTCGCTTCAAAAAAGTATTCCTTTGAGAATAAAGATTTCTTTTCGAGGTTTGCAATTCGGGGATCGTCAGAATAATTCTCAACAAATATATGGCAGCATTCACTACTGAGTGAGTAGTTCTGCTAGGGGTTACTGATTGTGAATCAGAAAAGCAAATTGGATTAATCTGTGGAATGAAAGTCGATGTACCCTGGAAAACGGAAGAAAATAAATAAGCGGAAGAGTATTCAGAATATTTTCTAATGATACCAATATACTAATGTTTTTGCAATCCACTGTTTGTAAAATCAAATTAAAGCAACGTTAATGTTCAGATCAATCATGTGACAAAGTAATTATACCTGAAATATTCACTTTCGGGCGTTTGAAGTGTCTTATCACATTGCTGACACTGATAATTGCGAAAAGTTCGTTAAGCACCGTTTTGAAATCTTCCAATTTCCAGTAAAAATTATCATCAAAAAATGACTAATCAGAATTGTTTGAATGTTGAAATCCTCAGTGAACTAAAAGTATTTGGATTTCAGAAGGAGGTCCACAGGAGTTGTACTATGAGAACGAAGACTACGTGCCACGTGAAAGCATACAATATGATCCCGAGAAGCTAGCAGAGATTATTGAGGAGCTGAATCGGGAGGCTGAACTCCAAAGGCAACGAGAGCAGCAAGGTATCGTTTTTGATAATATCGCCTATAATACGATTTCAATTAAATGATCGCCTTAAATCGTCGACAAAACCCTTGAATGACAAGCGTTTAATTGCCAACTAAATCAGTAGTTATCTATCGAACAAACATTCATTCTTCTCACCTGATCACATCTTTTTGCATTGATAATGAAATTGTAATTTGTGGTCTATAACGAATGCAATGGTGCATCAAATCAATTGTTTGAAGACATATCGTATATGTACTTAACCATCGTTCTTTTCGCACACACCTACATTCAACACGCATCGTTGAATGTAATTTCACTGAAAGTGCGATCAATGAAGTTCGAAATATTGGACTTGGTGAATAGACGGATTTATTAAAAATATTCATTTGTTCAGTCTAGTGAGGGCATGACGCTTTTTTTTCAATATGTTGGAAACGCTGGGTGCATTTAGAGAAGTTCGTATTGTGACATGCGGAGTTTAATAAAGTGAATGTCTAGAGTATTTTCACACAACCTTCATGAATGTCACTTTTAAGAGGTTGCTTGTGAGATCTCAAAAATTGCTATGAACTAATGTGATTTCGCTGTTGATGACATTTCCTCCAATTAAGAAAGAATTCGATTGGTGGTCCAAGATAATGCCAACTTATTTCGACAATTCCGTATGGAGATTTCACTGCAGCAGATACTTTCTTTATTCACGCACTATAATACAATTGAAATTGAGTAAATTCACTTAGAAAGTCCATTTCCATCCCGACGAAATCCGCTTTTTCATCGGCATTCTTCTCTACGACAAGTTTTTTGGCTGCTAATGTACGAGGCCACATAAATTTCCGACGTCTTCTTTATATGTTTCTAACAATCCTTCTCATTGGAAATATCCCACTTTTTACATCTTGCAGACTTATCGATTTTATAATTCATTCACACTGACATTAATGAGATTCACAGAATTCCAACGTAACGTGTAACTGAGAATCATTCGACCAGTTCTCAATTTCGATTCTTCGCATGACAGCTCTATATGCTCGAATGTAATTTTTTAAGCAGAATGACACACATTATTTCGAAACCACTCAGTTTTCAAAGTAAAACTCAGTTGTCAATGAATTTTTCGATTTTTTGAGCCGAAGTAAATGATGCCGAGGAAAACCACACAGGTCGATTGTTGAGGTGTAATCAACTTCAAGTTCTGTTCATGTTGTGGTATCATCGCTTGAAACTTAGGCTATATACCAAATTTTCAAGCAACAAAGTGAAAATTCTTTAAGCATTCCGGAGCCCGGACTGTTCAAATTGAGTGGCGATCATCCGGTAAAAACTTTTGCGGGGTATTTTGAAATCGTAACCTACCTGAAAGGTTCCAAAACCATGAGTACAACATCCGTTGCATGATGAACACTGAGTGATATAAATTGAAAATTTTCCATTTTTATGCAGTTCTCATTTTCAATTGCGAGAATATCACAAAGTGCCTGTGATTTTTGATGGAAGAATGAATGCCATTCATTTTGGGTTTGAAGCAGCTGAAATCGATGGCTATTAGCTTCACTAATGAGCATTGATCACATATGCTTGCAATTGTCCACTTGCTATATAAAATCACCGTTAACGATGAGGGTGTCCGTGAGTTCGGTATTTTTTGAATCGTCGCATTTACTAACATCGAAATTTAGTGGTTTTTCGCCGTTACTTTAGCTCTACCTCTAATTCAAGATAGCATTCGCGTACTGTAGAGCTTATAATGAACGCAATGAAATCATTCGTTTTTCGAATATCGATTTTGACAGACTTTAATGTAATATAGTCCAATGCAGTTGTTCATCAGCTTCTCCCCCCCCCCCTCCCCCCGTCAAAAAAAAATTCAAGCGTCACATCAAATCGACTACCAGATGAGCTAATTCCACATAAATGAATCGAAAAAGTAGGGTGTATACGGTTATTTTTTCATATTTTTCGCGTTTTTTTTCGAATTTTCGCATTTACTCATTGCTTTTTTTGCTAACTGGTGAAGTTTCTCTTCCACACTTTTAACAAATTTTGTAATACAATCCAATTATATTATATAATTGGATTGTGTTATAAAATTCCAATATCACATTCAGTTTTTTGTTTTTTGCTCTTCAACTGTTCTGCTCTGTTCTGTGTCGATACTCTGACACTGCAACGCTCTTCTGTTCCGTTCCACTCTTTGAGCTGTTTTGTTCCACTCTCTGTTTCTGTTTTTTCTTCTGCTCTCTGCGAGTAATATAAAGGCAAATATTCAACCATATGACAAGTTTGTTGAATTGTTCGTCAGTTATTATTGGATTTTTCAATCAGTTTCCCTTTAAGTAGAGTAAGACTCATAACATGCATCAGGCAAACAGATGTAAACTTTTTTTCAACATTCGCTGACATTGAAGCAATATTATCCCGTCAAGAGCGATTTTCCAACATAAATAAATGTTTGTTTATGAATGTTCGCAAATTAATCTTCGTTAAATGCATAGGCATTATGTCGATTGAACATGTAAATGCATCGCTCGGTCATGTATTTGAGATTGATTACTCCCATCTTCTTCGTTAATGACTCTGAGGAATTCGACGAAATTGTTTGCGCCTTTAGTGCAGTTCTGATCAGAGATCGAAAATGTGATAACTAAGTTCATCCTCGTACATTTATTATTGTTTCCTTCCCACTGAAGAACATTTTATTATGCAATCCTCTTCCGAAACTCTTTAATATCAGTACTCAAGGAATTGGGGCAGTTGATATGTAATTTACTGCCAGCGTTCGCTTACTATCTGTTTATTGAACAGTTATTAGTAACAGTTCATATCGAATTATGAGATTCTATTCACTCGTCACAGGTATTTACCTCAGACGTAAATGAATTTATTGAGTAGAAAGCGTTAAATCCGACCAAACGATGCACTAATACTAATAGGCATTTGCGTCAGTAGTCAACATCCACTAAGGCATACTCATAATTTCACTCACTAGGCAAGTTACTTCTATGTTTGGAACACAAATGTTTGCTGACGTCATGCGAAAGAACAAAAGACATCCGCACTTATTTATTGCCGGCCTGAACAAGCACTTGCTTGTTATCAACAAGGAAAAAGGATTTCAATAGTAATTTCGAGTGCTTTTTACTATCAATATTACCAGGAATACTGAACTGAAGTAGTTGCTTGAGATGCTACTTCAACCAGTTGAAACGTTGTTATACTACGTTCAAACTCGGCAGAGTTTCATTTCAAAACTCTTTTTATTAACAACATTGGTTGGTCTATCAACGGTTGGCATATTCATGCTCGGGATTGAAATAGATAAAATATCCGGCAAGTATCACAGCTTTTCTATGTCACACTTGAAAGCCAATCATCGCCACCGGTAAGACTCATCACTCAGTAATAGCATTAGTGATCGCTTCACTGATGCAAATTTTTACTCTCTGCGAGGAGAAAAAGAAGACAGTTTTCTGATGATCAATTGCTGATGAAAATTTGGCAGGCGAATCCTCTGCACTGTCACCTCGTAATTGCGATGGAATCCTTTCCAAAACCGATCGGTTAAAAACCGAAGATACGAATTGCTAGTGACATTCTGTTGGGACATTTGCTGATGGAAGTAATGCTATTCCAATGTGATGCTCGAATCTATTTTAACACTAATGATTTCCATCGTCCTTTTCAAGAAACGGTACCTGAAAATTTGACTCCACTGAACATCGGACTCATACTGATACATTTGCGTTCGCGTTTTAGTGAATGAAAGCACTGAAATTTTCAACATATGCATGCATACACTGATTCTTATTTCCACAAAAAATATTAGGGGTTCATTCGTGAAATTTTTGAATTGATGCATATGAGGGGCACTCACTTCCACCTCATAAATGATGCTAACCACCCTGTGTTAAAACGTGTAACGGCACCGAATATTTTGGAATACCACCACATCCAGTGGCTCCAGATGATGAACAAATGAATTCAACAAATGAATCCAAATTATGTGGATGTTCATTGGTTTATCGGAAACTGGAACAAATTTGAAGAAATGGATGATAATGGAGAATTATAGATGAAGCCACATTCACATATTCATGAATAATTCATTTAAACATTGTAAAAAATTGCAGTTTATAATCAATATGATGATCGAGCAAACGCAATGGAAATTGAATTGCTAAAACCGGAATTGACTGATAAGCCGATGTCGGCGCAGAAGAAGGGTCAAAGTGAATTCGTGGAATTTATTGAACCGAAGTCATCGAAACAACTACAGAAGGTCGAAACACTTGAGAAACGTGTCCCTGCGCAACAAGCTTCATCGCGATCATCTTATCTCATACACAGAGGAAACCTTCTGTTTGTTGGTATGCTTTCATATCATGTATATCATACCACTCTGTCGGTCCAGTCGACATATAATTCGGCGATCGCACTCAGGGCATCTTTATTTTGTTATTCCTTGGGCATATACTTAAGAAAACTTTTAGATTCAATAAACAGCAAATGTTCATTGTTGAAATTTCACCGAAGGTAGCTATACAAATAAAATAGCCAAATTCAAGGATTCAGGTAGCGTCAAATTGAAAACCGTTCATTTGATGAATGGAAATACAAACAATGTAGGTCTGTGGGACTGACAACTATCACAACTATTTTGATTTCGCAAATATCGTGTTATCGTTGAGTATAAGTTAACAGCGATTGCTTGAAATGATTGTTTTTATTTGATGTTGGGGTTCAATAATAAATAGTGCTTAAACAAATACCAATGAGATTAAAACGAAATACAGAACAATGTTCTATATTAGTTTGCATTCGCCCATTTGTGTTTATAAGTGATGACAAATACGTTCATTGAATTCCTCTTTCATGGACTTCACAGGTGAGAATTCATATTCAGTTTGGTGTGATTCATCCACTATCATATTTTATTACTGGTGTGATCATTAACACAAAAGTTACAATATCTCCATTGCTTTTCAATAATGCTTCATGAGTTTTTGAGTGACTTCCCGATGAAAGGTCACTTCATAAAATAAATGTTGATTAATTTTGCCTACAGCGGAAGGTATTGTTCTGAATTTTATCAGTTCCAAGCACTGATCTTCTTATATATTTCAATATTATAAATTCAATCTTCTCTCTTTTACTGCCTGAAAACCATCTCGATTATTAACTCTGAAAAGGTCATGAATTTTGGTGACTTTCAGCAGTAGCGACGGTCTGTGTTGTGGGTGCTGCCGTAGGCGTTGTGGGAGGTGCTTATTACTACAACGTGTAAGTTTCAATATTTTTTTTCAATGATCATCACGTATTCCCTTTCATCCTCATCAAATTCCTGTAATCACGATCGATGTCCGCTAGAAATCGTTGTTAAAACGACGTCACTTCGCAATCGAGTACGTTGGAATAATGACAGCAAGTAATAAATAATCTTTAATGGAAATATTTTGTCCCACTATCGTGAGCTCATCAATGTTCAACAATCGAGTTTTCGTGGATATATGATGGGCATAGAATTACTATAATATCTAGTCATTTCTCTGCTCATTTTCGTTCCCTTTGTGAAACAAAACATTTAATAATACCACATTAGTACCACAACTATAGGACAAACCGACCATTAAACCTTTCAGGAATCGTCGTGGAATAAATTCCTGCATTTTTTAAAGGATTCCTTTGATTTTCATCATTTTTATTTATCCTCGCAATTACGCTTTTTTCAGTGCACGGGCACAACGAGCAGCGGCCGAACGATCAGATTTTACGCATTATGCACCAACTGGGCCGGGCAAAGAAAAGAAGAAAAAGCGCGGTGATGAGAGTCTTGCATACAAGGTACATTTTTTCGACACAGGTATTTCCATCGGTCGGCCATTGAGTAAAAGCTGTGCATTTTTAATACGGAACAATACGTTCGTTTCCCACGCATGCTTCACGTTCCATCCTACATTCCGAGACATTGATATCGTTTCCAGCACTTACTACCTCTGAATATCCTATTCGCGTCTAATGATACATTGACAATCTACGACTGATCAAGCAGTAATTGTTCTTGTTGCCTTCAGCCACTTTATTTCAACCATGCATCTCCGTACTTATATTTTTCAACCATTTATCAGTTCGATCGAGTAGCTATCATAAACATTTCCGGAAACCTTGTTCAGATATTAGTTCAGATGAACTACTGATGGGTGTCTGAAAAACATTAATTAATCTTGTCATACGGGAAAGTCTAGAATAGAATAGGTGGAGACGAAATGAGATGAATTTACGTAGACTGCATGGGATCAAGCATAATTTGTGATTTCGCATTGATTCAGTTGCACTCTGCGGCATTTGCGTTGAGAGTAATCCTGTAGGCACGTCATATTCGACATCGCTTTCACTACCAATCATATTTCCGATTGATAATACCATTCCATCTGTTTACATGAGTACACAATAGTTCAGTTATCGACCATTCAGAAATTGAAGTTGTTCACTGATTACATCTCTTGCTTTATTACTTTGTCCAAAGTGATCGATAACTGATAAGATTTTCATATTGATACGATAGCATCGAATTGAAATTTTTTAAAGTTCTGACCACCATGGACATTTAAGCAATCATTGTTAGTTCTGGAAGATGAAATGTAATATTGCCTACAGTTAAAGTTTCAGTTGCATTTTGTGTTGAAAGGTATTGTATCTTGTAAATCTGTAAGGATTCATCTTTATGCTGAAGTAACACTGTCGAGATGTTGAGTTGTTATGTGATTGCTTTAAACATGTGCATTTCATGTTGTGCTTAATCGTCTTCATTCTTTTTGCAGCACTATTACCGCTGCACAAAATGCTTTTATCGCATCACATAAGCCCATGCGTCATCGGATATCCAACGAATTCATAGCATTGCAAATACATATTCAATTATGACATCATATCTTATCGCTTTCATGCATCAGCTGTCTTGACATGAATATTTAAGTGAAAAAGGCGATGGTGTTTGATCACTCCAGAATAGTGGAATTCACAGAATAGTGCAATAATGGTCGATTGATTGCATAGTTGAAAAGGGATCGTTTAGGATTGCTTTTTAGTGCGATGTTCTTGCAGTGGGATGTTTTCATGAGTAATTCGCAGAAAACCGTTGATAGTATCCAGGATATGTTAATTGATATAACGGAAACATGACAGAGTTATTTTCAGATCTATTTCTAAGAGTTCGGCGTTGTTTAGTTTATTCAGCTGGGAACATTTATATGAACATTCTCTTTTATAGGCCCAGTTGCATCATTATCAGCAAACGAAGCAAAAGATTATCTCCGGTGAAGAGCTTGGAGCGGGTATGCCAGATAACGATGAAACGAGTGAGGCATCTGATGACGAGGGAAACAACTTCTCGGTCTACGAATGTCCTGGTCTTGCACCAACCGGTGATATTGAAGTGCAAAATCCAAATTTTGATTCACGTCCGTAAACGATCATTTCCCTTTGTCACATCTATATGTCATTTCAGTCCAACACTAATTTCAATAATAATTATTCACCTGATTTCCCTGATGATAGAAGAAGCGATCGATAACACGAACAAAGAGTATCTCAATGAAAATTTGATCTCTATCCTACTAACCGTAAATTATTATTTTTTGCCACAACTGCTCTTGCTATGTTTCAGCGGACGCTGGTTGCCCGTTTCATTTCATTCAAGGGAAAATAAATAAAGAAAAAGGAAAATCAAATTATATCTTGGCCAGAGACAATTTATAAGCTTGTTGGGGAAGAAATATGAAAGAAAAAGTAACGAATGGTTTCAAATGCATATAAAAACCATTTATAGATTCGAGTCGGTGACCGCTCTTTAATTCATAATCCAAAAAATAACATCCTGAGAAATTGCTTACAACTTCGAGGTTAAGCCTGCTGAATTGCCGTCCAAGGTGCCCTGCGTTCGCTTAAACCCCCAACTAACTGAAGTCTTCATCAACTCTGCCATACTTTCTCCGTTTCTATCATTTCTGTATTATCGCTGATTCCAATCGATTTCATCCGATAACCCCATCTTCGGCTTGTTAATCTCAGTGTTTACAACTACGGTATATTCTTTTCATTACCTTATTTCGATCTCATGTTTTATAATTAATAACATGGTTAATTTCTTCATTAACACTCACTGGAATCGTTCATCTCTTCATTCCTAATATGATTTCTTTCTAACTAACAGTAAGCAAACTTATGATCTGATTTCCTTCTCGCTAATGGAACTACGAATGACTTTGCTGATCAATATTGCTAACCATTACGACGATATCCCATAACATGACTTACTGTCAACTATAATATCCATGAGAATAATAACGATAATTATGATAACAATAATATAATAATACAACCGTGACCGTCGATGCTGTGCGATGAATGCTTGTTGTGATGACATAGATGCGTACTGAATAGCACATCGATGAAGAGGAATGAATATGCTGAAATGATGACAACAATGATAACCGCTTATGGGATTGATGCTAACGATAAATTTCTATTGAATTATACCACTGCGTTATTCTATTCATTCAATCAACTTCATTTGTTAATCACAAACTGCACAAACAAGTATCACATAGTTGGATGCGATACATTCTGTAATACATTGCTTTCACCTTACTCATAGTCCTTCGCTTATGATAACAGAAATCATAAAATACAACAAATTTTCTTTCACACATTCAAACTAGGTTTGAAATAGTTTCTTGTCTGACCAATGGACAGTAGATGAAATGAAAGTCGATCTTGGTACAGTAAAAATCCATTTTCACTAACACTCGAGCATTATAAATAGCAAAAATGAATGAATAAACAGTTATATTGTGTTAACACATACTGGCCTGTTCAACCGATGACAGCACTGAATCAGACTGTAAAAAATCTAAGTTGAAATCGTTTCGATAAGCGACCAAATCTACTGCTGTCGCTATACTGATGCACCATCAATGCTAGATTCATGATGACTATATTAATCGCTCTTTTTATCGAAAAATCGAGATGAACTGATGCGAAACGCTACTGCGATGAAATGGATATTTACGGGAAATTCGCAGTCACATCAATTTTTGCTCAAGCAACGTGTTATTCGCCACTTACGCATATTTTTGGTACTGTATTTTGAGTGATAATTCTCGGAAATTGTTACCTTCGAACGATTACATTTCCATTGCTTTGTTAAAGACACGTGAACTACTGATGCCGACAGGATGGATAATGCTGCTTAGAGCTGACCGAGAAGGAGTCAAGATGAGAATGGAGAAAACGTATTTTTAATGACATTCTGTGTGCCATTTGCTCATAAAATTTGATCATTTTGCGAGTCAACTTCGCACTTTCAAGGGAAATTTTGTACAACTTGAACAAATGGTCTCTATGCAGCTAGTTTTAACTCACTGAGGATATGTGCAAACGATGAGTTATGCATGATGTTGTGAATACGTGGTCCAGTCGAAAGTCCCGCTTCCAATTAAGCATGTGTTAATATTGCTTTAAAATTATCCTTCAGATATTGAAAACGACTACCCTGATGATCCTTATCCCTCACAAAATTCTTCAACAGACCAAGTTAAATGTAAAATGGTGGAAGATGTGTTCCATGAGGGACAGTAAATGCTGACTGTTTCATGTTGTATCTGTTATGCTCAGTTCTTGGTGGTCAATTGCATATTTTGTACTGGTTCCTGTCATCTTACAGACGAGATTAATCTTTGTTGTTGTATTTCGACGTTGTTGCACAGGTATATATGTCCGCAGATATGACGGATGTTATTTGGATTATCTTACACAACATGTCTTCTTGATGCCATTTGAGTCGTAATTCAAATTACCAGACGATTTCTGATGGAAGGAAGATGGAAAGCTTAGTCGCTTGAACAAAATAACAAAGAAATACATATATAGTAGGAAATTGGTATAGAAATGCCACAATGGCCCCATTTACTCCATTTCACATGACATCTAGGCGTGATAGAACAAATCTAATTGTATGTTTGAAATCAGCATATCAAAATGGGCTTGAAAGATCAAGTTCCCCTTGTCTGTGTTGCTTAATATTATCAGCGATTGAATTATAGAAAAGAACCAGGAAGTTAAAAAAATAGATGATAGTGTTCGATGACGAAGTGGAAAGGAAAGCAGTCATTTTGCTGTTTATACCTGAAAAGGTTTGACATTTTAATAAGCTTTTTAAATTATTTTACCAGCAGGTCACTAGCGTAGCAGAGCCTCACTCAAGAAACATGCTCGAGTGAGGCTTTGCTATGCTGGTGACCTGTTGATAAAATTGTGTTAGAGAATACCTTCACTCGTACAATAGGCTGAATGTTGAATCTGCACACTTTACATAATACATCGGGATGATCTCATATTGGTCACCATCAATAAATGTGCAAACGGATTCCCCTGAATAAAAGGTTCCGATTCTCCCATGCGAGTAGAATAAAAATATCGCAAGATGATGAAAAGTCAGGAATTCGAAACCTGATGTCAATAGTGACTTTGAAAATCGCTGGAGGTTCATGTTGATCAGAACTTCGTCATTGAAATTTGCATTCAGCCTTCAACCTTCATGGAAATCGAAATATTGCACATTATGTGATTTGGTTGTTACAACGAACGGTTTTCTTGCAACGTTCATGAGTTGTAGTTCCATTTTTAGGTTGTTGTTCGGTAAGATTATAATGTTATTATCCCTTTCCCGTTTGCAGTGGAGCTGTGATACTGAGTGCTTATAACTTATATCATCTAGCTTCATGACCAAATTTCGTATGTAAAAGTCACATGTGTTAAAGTGATCAACGGCTCATGAACACAGCTTGAAAACGCCATATTATTTTCGGTGACTAATTGAGCATCCCGTAAGAGCCGTCGAAACTCGATGGCCAGGTATAGCAAATTTTGTGCGTTGATCGGCTTCGATTGGTGTCTACCTACCCGATAGTACTTAAATGTGAGGGGTGCCTGTAAAGAAGCTTTTTTTGTAAACTCTGGTCTTACTTTATCTTAAAATAATAGAGTACTGCAATCAAATTGCCCAAATGCAACGGTGAAATTGACTACCGAATCCACGTTGACACCTAATTCAAGTACCTAGTTCATATTGACTCACTCAATATATTGTTCAAATATGAACTTACATGAACTTCAATAGTTGTTCAAATATGAACTTACATGCAACAATTAGCGTCGATTGAAAAAATATCGATAAAAATCTGAGAGATTTTTTTTGTTAGCACAGCACGTAAGGAATATTCCGTATTTCTTTCTCTGTTAAGCAAAACAGTCAACTGCGTGCTTTCTTGTTCTTGAACTTTTCAATGATTTTCAAACTATAAGTTTTCTTAGCACAGCACGCACACGGCGGCAAGATGACAGTGTTATAGACAAGGGGAAGAGAGATCCAGAATTCACCTTTGGAAAATCGAGATCAAGAGCTGATGACTGAGGCTCGGCACCTAATCCATGTGAAGTGTCACATAAAACCCCGAGAAAAGCCATCAAATTTTACAAATAGTATTGGCATTAAAAGGAATTTTCAGCTCAGATTATTCTTTCGTAAATTAGAGGTTATGAATATGGTTGAAGGAAACTCGCTGGGATGAATCAAATGAACCGAGTTTACAGATGCATTCTGTTTGGCGATGACATTGATACTCTTATTAACGGTAAGCTGGTTGTGTACACCTGGCAGTAGGAGAAGAGAGAATAAAGCATCAAAACAAATACGAAATGAAATGGCCAAGTTGGAGATGATCCGACGCAGAGATCGTCAACGACAATATTCAGGTATTCATGTTGCATAGAAATTTAATGCGATTGCAAAGGTTTAGACAAAGAAGAGAAACATTTTTTATTCGACTGCTGTGAGTTCCGTGGAACACTTCGAGTGCATTCTTTTCAACAGCTATTTGCTCGATTCGACCCTGAGTTAACGTTTCAAGTGACAAATCTAATTACGGCACTATTGCACTCCCATGAAGTATCTGTTGAACTGAATCATCTCATTCCCTCTGTACATTTTCGTTAGATGAACCCGATTGAAAGGACACTTTGAAATGACCAATGAAACTGAAAGTTAATATTAAACGAACCATTCGAACAGTGTAGACAAAATACGAAGAGATCTAACTACAAAAGGTCCGGCATGGAATAAAAAACCAGCGAAGAACGCACTGTTCATTCGAGTAATCTTATCATGGATTACTCCGTCTTCGTTGAGTCAGCTTTTCCTGTGCTAATCTCCTATTTTGAATGTGAAGTTTGTGTTCAGCTGTGATATATCCATTTCGGTTATACCTCGGAGCAGTAGGTCACTAGTCGACTATATATGTCTGTGCGCATGTGCTTGAGTTCTTTTTGGCGATTTGAAAATTAAACTCTTTTTTTNTTTTTTTAGTCACAGCATGAACTCACAGTTTCACAAAAAAGCTTGCCCACGAT